GCTTTTTATACTTTCCCATGGGAAGTTGAAAGCTGCTTGCTGAATTAAGCAGAGAAGGAACATATTTTGTGAACAGTAAACATTTCAGGGCATTTGCAACACATATCACATTAAGGCAGCCTTGCAGATAAGTCCAAGAAAAGTACTGGCCCACAAGAGCATTATCATCTTCTCTGTCCTTGCCTCTTGGTCCTGGGCCAGTTAAGCAATGAGGATCCACAGGACTCCATTCTATCCCCAGTACTACTTAATATATGTTATGAAGCCACTGAGAGTGGCCACTAAGCGGGTTGGGTGAGAGGACATCCGTATGCTTATGATACTGACCTCTAGTCCTCTGTATAATCAGAATGAGCAAAGACTGTGTGGGTCCTGGACCAGTAGGTTGAATGAGTGTTAACAAGTACAAGCTAAATTCTGACAAGACAGAATTATTAAGGATAAGTAGTCCTCTTATCCAAGGATTACGGAGATCATTTACAGGAAATCCTCGCTTAATGGCCACAGTTGGGACTGGCAACTCTGTCACTAAGTGACACTATCATTAAGTGAGACATCACATGACCATGACTTGCAATTCTACTGCTGGCTTCTCCATTGACTCAGCTTGTCAGAAGCTGGCTGTGAAGCACGCAAATGGTGATCATATGACTGTGGGGACGCTGCAATGGTTGTAAATGTGAGGACCAGACATAAAGTTACTTTTTCAGTGCTGTTGTAACTTTGAATGGTCACTAAACAGGGCAGTCATTAAACAAGGACTACCTGTATTCTGATTGGAGTTGCACTCCTTCTGAAGGAACAGGTTTGTAATCTGAGAGTTTTTCTAGAGCCATAGCTGTCCATCACAAGTTGAACTGGATTAAACCTCAAGACTGGATTATTGCAATGTGCTCTATGCAAAACTTCTTTTCAGGTTAGTCCAGAAGCTGTAGCTAGTGCAAAATATGCTTGTTGAGTTGCTAGAGGGGTTACGGCTTGTTTTGAATAATGAATATGTGGGTTAGGAACTGCATAAAGATACAACAATATAAGATATAAAATTTTAAAAATGATCAAAATCAAAATAAGAAAATTGCTCATCAAAGCTTTCTTGGCTGCTTACATGGAAGTGGTTTTCATTCCCCAGAGGCAACCAGGGAAGTAAATATTTAGAAATTTATATTACAATTTCTCAATACCAGTTTTACATGAGAAAATTCTGGAGAATAAAACTCTATTCCCGCTCCATTTCTAAATTTTCTAGGTTAGTACTTCATAGAAATTACAGTAATCTTAAAAAATTCCAATGACTGGATTCATAAAAATAAACTAAGCCAAATGCAAACAAACCACGTTATGGCTTAGGGCACTGTTTCTTAAACTTTTTTTCTCTCAGGACCCTTCCCTACTTTTAAAAATTATGAAGGATCCCCAAGAGCTTCTGTTTGTATGGGTTATACTGATCAATATTGACTGTATTAAAAATGAAAACTGACACATTTGCTGCCACTACAGTTTCCTCACAACCGTTTGATGGGATTTTAATATTGTAATTTTTCAACATAGGCTGGCAAATAATTTTGATTTTGTAGACCCCTGAGAGAGTCTTGGGGGGCCTCCAGGGGTCCTAGATCACCCTTTAAGAAACAATGGCTGAGGCCAACGTGCGACTCCCAATCCCAGAAAAGAAAACACGTAGACATGGGAGACGCACCACACCTTCAACATTACCTTTATCTTGGGCCTTAAAAATGAGTAACCGCGTCGGGTTCTCTTGCCCGGAAGTGGATAGAGAAGCAAACGTAGGGCTGCCTGGACCATCACAGGGCGGAGGGCCACCAACTCTGCTGAAATCTGCAAGAAAAACTCGCGCTACCGTTTCCGGACTGCCAAATTCCGGACAATCCCTAGCTTTGTTGCCATCTAGCCGTCATCCGGACTTTTTGCAGCGTTTCGAAAACTGGGCACCGGTCTAAAGCGTGCTGACTTGGGAGGAGGGTTTAGGAAAGCTGGGGAGCATTGCGCCCGCTATTCGCTTTCAGGACTGCCGCTGTGTTGGCTCTGCAGCCAGAGAAACCGGCCACTCACTGCGTGCCTTGGCAGAACATTACCTTAGCTCTCACTGTTACTTCAATTACTGCACTGCCAACCGCTCCCAAAATAACGGCATTTTTTTTTTTAAGTGTTTTATTGAAACTTCCCCGCCTCCAACAAAAAAGCCCTGGTTGGTCTTTGCGGAAAAGACAGCGGAATGCATCGTGAAGCGCCTACGTACGGCTTAGCTGCTTAATCCGCCCTTTGTGCTCCTCGGTTGCTCTCCGGCTGCCCCTCAAGGCCAGGGCGGTTGCACCAATCCGTGAAAGGGGAAAGAATGGCGTCCCTTTCCTGCGCCGGACGTCTACGGCTAAAATGCCCCCTTCTCCACCTACGGCCCTTTCGAAACCTTAGAGAGCATAAACATTTGGCTGCTGCCCTCTCGTGTCCACAAAGCAGCTAACAACGCACGTTCCCCTCGATTCGATTAATAATTTCTGCTTCCGCGGCAAGCGGGCTCTACCCGCCGCCTCCCGCTCTTAGCCTCCTTGTAAGTATTGTAAAAGCAAATATTTTGACTCATCTCAACCCACCAGCCCACAAACCTGTTTATCAGTAGGCATTACAAGACTACAAAAGAAGCATGTGCTGGTATTAAACGTTATTGAAGCATAAAAAAAAATCATGGATTTTGCAAGCTTGTTCACTGAATAGAAGTCCTAAAGAGGAAATGGAACAAGCAAGTAGAAACTGAAAAGCAAATCGGGTGTGCGCAGGAGGGATGAGTTGGGCAACTTAGGTTAACATTTTCTGGACTTCCTGGAGCTCATTCTTTCTGAGAGGGGCAAGTAGACATGTCCTATACAATTTGTATAATGCCAGAGGTTTCTGCTAACTTGATAGTTTGATTTTTAACCCCATTCCTAAGGAACACCACTCCGATGCAAAAACTGATTCCTGACAAGCGACCACCATCTGAACCCCTGCTGATGTATATATAAAATTAACTTGGTGTTTTCTTGTTTTCTTTTTAATTCCAGCATGCCTCCCTTTACTGGCTTGCATTGAACTATCTTTAGGCCTTTCCTCAGAGCCAAGTTAAAGTGCTATCCACAAGTCCTTGAGCTGGCAGAAAACCGTACAAAAATCTGAACAAAACAAAATATGTTCCATGCTAGAGGAAGATCAGTTTTAAATTCTCTTCCAACTGCCACTTTAATATCCATAAAAAGAAAACTATCCTGATTAAAAAAATATTAATTAGAAGTTTTAATTAGCCTCAGGAGCCAAGCAACAAAAACATCCTCTGACAGCCAAAATGCAGTCTATAACCAAAACTGCATGGTGCAGAAATGAAGCAGATCCCAGTGTGACCAGGGCCTTTCTCATTAAAAAAAATAACCTTGGAGATGTCAACAGCAGCTTCAAAAATCATAGTATAACAATTTTTGAAAATTATTGCAGTGCAAGGAATTCTGGTTCTGTAGCCTTTTATCTGATCTTTTTCATGTCTGAGTGACTGCAACATTTCCCATTCTAGTGTCCTTCAGATGTTTTGAGACAATGACTCCCAAATTCCCAACCTATGGCTCATGCTTTACATTAGCATTGTGAATTTGTAGCTGCTCCCAGTAAATCTGTAGCTTTTACCCAGGTGATCAAGACAGATTTTTGGAGATCCCTCTAACCACATGCATAGAAGCTGCAAGTATTATCAGAGCTGGGCTGGAGTGATTGTTGGATACCAGCACTTGAGATAATTTAACAGGCAAGCTTAAGATTTAGGGTCTCTCTCTCAAGGATTGCAGTCATATTTCTTTATCTTCTTGCCAATCTTCCAACTGCTAACTTTGTGATATCAAAAGCTGAAACATGAGAATTGCACGGCTTGGCTTGTTTTAAATCTCCATTGTCTTTTCCTTTGTATTGTGCTGGATGTTATTTTTTGACAGATGAAAAAGGATTATGAAGTAGAACTTTCAATGTGTTCTAACTTGCATTGAGACTGTACCGCGATCTTCTCCCAACATGGTGCCCTCCAAGTGGCAGAGGATAGAGGGAACCAACAGCCAGAATGCCCCTCTTCCCCTGGATACCAAGGCCACTGACAAAAGAAATGTATCACTAATTTCCACTTTGGACCAGTGTACTAGGGAACAAGAGCTATTCCAGCATGGGCATCAATAAAGAAATGGCAGATGTGCCCATCAGGAGTCCTCCCATTCTGGATATCTCTTCCAGACATCCTTGTTATGCAATCCCCACCCATCCTCAATTGTACCTCTATTTCCCTCAAGGATAGGACAAATGTAATACTACAATGAAGCCAAGAAGTCAAAACCATTATTGCAGGGAACAAATCTTTTCAGTCAAAACCAATAAACTTATGTACTAGGACGAGTCTGGCAGGTATGCCAAGTTAGGAAAAAGACCCAATTGGAAGAAAAGCAGAGTGCCTGTCTTCAACAGTTCCTTCCATGATACCCTGTGTATAGCTATTCTAGTAGCAACAGGAAATAAATATATTAAAAGGACCCAAGAAAGACCTATCCAAACTAAGATTGCACAGACAGTCCCCACTTAACTCTTCCAATTTGCACTGCTGATTGCTGGGTAGCAAAAATAATCTTTTTTTTTTTATCGGAGCTTGAATTCATCTTAGACAACTGTTTTCCTTAATCAGAGCCATAGGCATAAATTTGTCAATGATTCATTTATTGTTCCCTGAAACCTCTTTTGGTAATCAAAAGGAGTCTGGAAAATCCTTTTAGGGCCATCAACCTTTTGCAACTCTTGATTAGGCCAAAGCCAGCCATTTCCCCTTTTTAATCTCCTTCTGACCCTTTTGTTGCTGTTACTAATCTTGATTACATCTTGTTTTGCTGGAATAACTCTCTTCATTTCCATCCATTGCTGGAAGCTCAGGAGAACTGCAGATAGGAACAGCCAGCCCACCCTGGAGCTCCTACCTCCCATCCACTTACCAGATTTTTGCTAATCTCTTTAAGTCCTTGAAAGCCAGATTCCTCACCCCCAGACCAGACCATAGGATCTGTGACCTATCAGGGTCATCCAGGGAACTGGATTTGAGTCCCAAGGAGGTTGCTGGAATGCATAATCATGTTTAATAACTTATAGGGTAAAGATTCCAACAGAATTGATGCTGCGGCAAGCCTCAATTCATAATATCCTCTTCCTTTTGATCCATGGTAACAGGAGGAAGGCATAAGACGGACACTCCTACAATGCAAGGAAAGGGAGCAAAGTGGGGGAATAGAACTTCCAGCAGCAACACCCTCATTTACCACAAAAGAGAATTATGGAACAGGGCATAGCCTCACTTTAGCTCTTCCTTGTCTCCACTCCCCAAGTCAATAAAACACCCTTTCTAAGAAGTTTCAAAGACAAGGACCATGTGCCTCTTTGGATATCCAGTCATTGATTAATTCCAAAAGAGGATGAATTATTGTAATGGACAATCCTCTATTCATACCCTCACATTATGGACTCTTTTAATAAAAAGTTCTTGTTCTGTTGGACAAGTGGGTGACCGTTCAAAAATTGGAATCAGGAGTCACTTCTAAAGAGTTTTTGAGGGAGGTAGTCTGTGAGAAGATGCTAGTATATATCTTGCAGTTTTTCTCTGATTTGCTCTATAAGGAATACGATCAATCCTGTCCACATGTCCACCCAAATTTACAAGAAAGACTGAATACCTTTTTTCTTGTTTTTTTTTAAACTAAGTACTCCACTCTTGGCTTACACTCTCCCGGTGTTATCACAGAAACACCTATAGATGGTATACCTCTCTATATGTCCAAAATATGTATTTTCCTCCTTTGGTTCTTCTGCTTATTAGATTTTACTATATAGGTGTATTTAATTTTGAAGAAAAGTCAAATAATTATAATTCTTGTAACATTCAAAAGTATAATTAATATTGATAGAATATCCACTTTTTTTCTTCTCTTTTATCTACATTTAATACACTAAGGCATTAAATAATAGAATATTAAGAATTTAAGTATATTATATAAATATCATATTGAAACAACATATTCCACTAAAATTGAGAAGATGGAGCAATAGTTGGTCTATATGGCTAGATTTAATATATTAAAGACTGAGCTGGTTCTATGTTAACATTTCATGGCTATACTTTTAGTTTCTACAAATGTCACTCATATATTCATTATTCTATACTTTTTCTGATTTTATTAGCACTGCTATAGTTTTGGTTGTACTTTATCATACTGTATCTTCTGACTGCTACACACACACACAAGTTTTTACTATATACCTGTTGCCCATATAAGCACTGTTTATAAATATGGTACCATTCAATGGATCATCCTCAGCTCTAGATAAACTGTTGAATAAGGTTCAATTTAAAAGTTGCTCAACTTCTCTTTAATTTTAGTACTAGCTTCCAATCCTATTCTGAGTCAAGCAGAACAATCCTTTTCTAAAAGGCTAGTTTGCCCAAATTATCCTTTACCATACCTAAAAAATCTAAAACCCTCCTCTTTAGATCACTATTGAATCCAGATTTTTAAAGTCTGCTTCATCTGTCTAATTCATCCTAGTGTGTATCTGTAAGAAAATTTTCATATATATGTGTTGGAATGAGTGAAATTGCATGCAAGGAGAAACATCTGTTATTTTGTTCCTGCATTACAGGTTTCTAGTTTGATGCCAGTCAAAAATGTCTTTTTTAAAGTCTGCTTCATCTGTCTAATTCATCCTAGTGTGTATCTGTAAGAAAATTTTCATATATATGTGTTGGAATGAGTGAAATTGCATGCAAGGAGAAACATCTGTTATTTTGTTCCTGCATTACCATTTTCTAGTTTGATGCCAGTCAAAAATGTCTTTTAGTGAAACCATTAGTAACAATGCAAAAGGAAATATTTTATTAGAGCTTTAAAGGACGCATTTTCCACAGGTGCTATGTGAACCACTGGAAATGTTCTGTTGTTTAAAAAGACATATGCACCTAAAATTACCAGAATGCTGTATGGTATTTTATGTACTTTTACGTACTATTCAACAGTTCTGCTGACCATGCATCTTCTTCCCAGAGCTCGAACACACTTGAAAGACATGGAACTCAAAAACGCACCTGGAATAATTTAAAGATGCATTAAACACCCATACATTAATCAACAGAAAAGACTTCAATAAAAAAAAAAAAAAAGCCAAGCTAAGACTTGAATCCATACTTCTGTTGGTGAAATTCTGCTGAACAGGATGCTCCCACTGGAGGAAAGGAGGTAATGGTTTGCTGATTTATCCTCCCCCTTGCAAATCTGCTCCTGAAAATTGCGGGGGGGGGGCGC